TCGCCAGCCTCATGTTATCGGGCCAAAGTCTCGTGCAAACATAACCCCGGTTAAACAATGAAACAAATAGATGAAATTCATTAAGCATGAAGATTTCCTGTTAATGAATCTTTGCCCCAATAGAAAACATACAAAGACCTAGTCAGCTTCTTGTATGAAACACGTGTTTTTATCATTACAATAAAATGAATAAATAAACAGATAAAAGAAAGATTCATAGATAGTTTAAAACTTGTGAGATTCGTTCCTCAGAAAAACACTTTCCAACCTCTTATCCCGTAAAATGTTCGCTTCACTTAAGTTAAAAGAGGATGTTGTATGACTTTTCTGTTGTTGACGTCAGTACTAACCTTAGTACATTATTGGACCTGACCAAGTAATTAAATTCACCATTACAAAGTCAACAGGTGGTCAACCGTTAACTGTTCGCCGAATCGACATTAATTCAATTTGTAGCGGAGTTTCAACCAGATATGCACATTTCTTTGGGAAAAATTCTTCTATATTTCTTCTTTTCATCGAGCTTAATACTGAGGTACGTTTACAAAGGTACGTTTATTAGAGCACTTAAGTTTGATTCATGAAACCCCCGAATCTACACGCTGTCCGGCAGATGTTTGTGTTACTTGTAACTATGGCGGCTTAAATACTACAAGGACATGGTTTCTCTGCTGAACCTTTCTCGCCTTCGGAATGAATCGAAATTTAAAGCTCGTTACTTATGATTCGCGGGTGATTTTGTTTAATTCACGCTTGCTCGCTCGAATGCTAGAAGTTTTATTTCCAAAGTCTTGCCCTGTGTTAGCAGTGATGCGATACGCGCGGTAAAGAACTCACTTGTGGAACTCATCATAATCAGCTACAAAAAACCTCTATCTCTCCTTAAAACATACGGTATTTTTTTTACATTATCAATAAGTGTTATTGTAACACAAATATTTGAGCTGGCGATCGGAGTTGACTACAGAAAGCTGCTTTAATGCAGGGCGTGAAATTAATTTTTTTTCTGATAGCCACTTGGTTCCTAAATTTTTTAGAGACGTAAAAAACCTTTTTTTTTTTACGCTATCAGAGTTCTTTATAAACCCCCCATAATAAAGTTCTACAAAGTTCTACAAAGTGGACACTAGGGTGAATGATATACAAAGTTCAAGCTCACCTGAATCCAAGATAGCGACTAGTCTTCGATCGAGATGCATGTGCTGCGTTTTGGAAACAAACTTAACGCGGAAATTTGCCGTGGATTTATCTTTGCAAATCTTTTCAATTCACTACATCTCTAGGTATGGTTATGATTAACCATTCTAGTCGCTAATTTGGCGACTACTTTCCAGGACTTGGTCGCCAAAGTGAAAAATTTAGTCGCACTGGCGCCTGTATTGGGCGCAATTTCACGCCCTGTGATGTTATGTCAGTCTTTGGTTGTAAACGAGTCAAAGCAACAAGTTCTTTG